TATAAATTCATAGATTTGGAAAATAAATTTCTAATAGCAAAATAAATTTAAACTAAATGCTAAATATTGAAAGATAATAAAATTCTTGATCCAACGACACGTACTGTGTCGGCAGTTTCAACCTCCAACTTCAATGAATCAAACATCTGAAAAATATTTTAAATATGGAATGAGCATATGAATACACTCAATATAGATTTCATGCCAATATTTTTACAATTTAATATAAAAAGCAAGTAAAATACGCACATAACATAATTTTCTAGTGGGATCATAACATGACCGTCTCATTCTCACTTAGATCATACCCATTCTCAATCTCCATTTAGGGTTTCTAGCCCTATGGCTGGTTTACGTGTAGATCTATGTAATAATACCCTATGATATTACCCACAAGACCATTCTTTAATTTGGATCACATAATAGCACATAAATTACTTAAGTTGAAACATTAAAAAGTGAAAACACAAAACTACTTAAACACATATAGAAATCCATACCTATTCGCTAAATTTCTTGTATACTTGAACTAATTAGGACTGAAATTTTTGTGAACGGATTTCGAACGCACCGGAAAAGATTGACAAATTGAGTGGTTGGGCGTGCATTGTTTCAGAACTAAAATAGTCACCTGTTGATGAATCCAATATGGATTCTTCGAATAAGTATATCATCTTTATTTATTTGTTTATTTTAGTGTTTTGAATTACAAACTAAACTAGAACTATTAGATAGTATTGGATAGAATAGAGGACAAGATTTCAACATACAAATTAAACGTGTTAGGCATACTAATTAGTATTGGACCACTTAGATCAACTAGGTCAGGTATTCATTTATTGAGCAAGAGTATTATCTGAATGCAGCCTTAGAATTATGCTTATGAAGCCATTAATTTTCTTCGCTTGTCTACTAATTATCCAAGATTGAAGCTATAATATTTCACCTCATTGATAGGTGGCAAGAAATCCTAGATTCTAATTTTGCTTTTAATCAGTGGGAAGAAAACCATGACAACCAATCAATGCGCACCAACCCAATAGCTTGAGCTTCTAAATACAAATTAAAAATTTTATATGTCACAATTTATTTATAGATTACATATCAAAAAAATTATATATCACAATTTATTTATCGGTGACAAATCACAAATTTATAAGTCAAAACTTATTTCACGATTATAAATTATCAAATTAATTGATCACAAACTAACCAAATAGTTGGTCATAGGCACAAAAATAACTAGTCAGAAACAATGCGTGGTCACAAATGCGAGGTCACAAATTAACCCACCCCACCCCTAATCCCACCACCGACACCAATGTGTGGTCACAAATTAACCAACCAAATGTCCACAACACTCTTCATCGCATTCACACACCAACCCCATAGTTGGTCACAAGCCCCCAAATAGTTGGACAAACGCTTTTATCCCATATTGCTACCACAACCACAACCACTTACAACACCAACACCACCATCACCGACGTAGCCACAACACCACCTCATCACCGCTTGCACCACAACCACAACCATCACCATTTCCAAACCACCAAAAAAACTACCCTAAAACCACCACGTGTCGTCTTATCTTCCACCAGATTGACTCACCGCGACACTACCGGCCACCATAATTTCAACATCACCTCTCCAAATCAACAAACAAATCACCAATAGCCTCCACAAAAATCAAACCACACCACAACCCACTGTCTCATTTATGCAACTGCCATATTTTCCGATCTCTCACCTCTCACTGCCATTCGCCACTTCCGCCAACATCAACCCGTGGAAACTACCAACTATCGTCGACATCTCCTCAACCACAACCACAACCACAACCAACTCACACCACCACCACCACATCGATCTTCAAAAACTAAATCTTTCCATTAACGTCACAATCAAAATATGTAAATTTTCAGAGAAGTATCCTAGTTCGCATCACGAAGATTGAAGCTGGGTCGAGCGACGCTGTTGTTGATGATGGCCTCTTCGCGACACGATTCTTCTTCAATCTCTCCACATCGATCGCTGTGTCACTTCAACCACCAATTGAATCTCTCCACATCGATTGCGGTTCTGCTTTCCATTAACAACGTCACATTCAAAATATGTAAATTTTCAAAGAAGTATCCTAGTCCGCATCACGAAGATTGAAGTTGGGTCGAGTGACGTCGAGGGTGGACATTGTCGTAGGGTTGGACGACGCCATTGTTGATGATGGCCACTTCGCGACTCGATTCTTCTTCAATCTCTCCACATCGATAAATGTGTCACTTCAACCACCAACTGAATCTCTCCATCCCTAAACTTGAATATTTGTTTGTTCTCAAACAAAACTAAAACCTAACAAACACACAAACATGACATGCTAATTACCTAATTGGTGGCCAATCAATCAAGTAAAGCAACAAGATTTAGCAAGCTAACCTGACTTTTTATCTCTAGATTGAAATCATAGTTACAAATCTATGCACAATTTCAGAATCACAATACAAACATTAAAATCCACTTTTTCATTGTAAAATCGACATGTGTATGAAGAATTAGGTATAGCATTATGAATTCATAAGTTGTTTCAATTTCCGACCATCGATGATCAAATATGTTCTTTCGTCACTAGTAAGATTCACATACTCCCAATTTATTCTTTTCACTCTTTTTCAGTATGTAACTAATGTTGAATTTTTTTACTATCATCACCTCTCTAGTCATGCAAAATTTCACCAATTGCAATTCAACATTTCAATAAATAAGGATTCTCCATCAAATTTAATTGCTTCAATCTCTAAGACTTAACTAGGCTAACAATCTCTTATCAAAAGTCAAACTTTCTTAAACAATCATTTGGGACTGAATTAAGACATTTGGTGCGTCTTCTATTTCATGCACCTGCTTTTTTTAAAATTTTTTTGGGATGATTTTTTTTTTTTTATTTGAAACATTCACTCCCTTAAGCTTTCTAAATGACCAATGTAATAAACTTTCTGTCGATAACTCCCAAATCAGATGACCATAGGGCACCAGGTTTTAAAGACCTTTGCAGGCTTAATTGCTCGAGTCATAAAGGCTACGAAGAAAATTTTTATAATAAAATATTTTTTTTGCCTTGATTAGTGCAATGTCTCTTATTTAACACCAATTTAAGTATAACGACCACTAACTTAAGATTTTCACACAATTGCATCCTATTGACCTTAGACAATTCACACAAGATTTTAATTTCACACATGGAATCCCTATTTATCTCAACATCTTCCTACAGCTGAAATCCCCCCAAACTATTCTAAATTTGATCCAAGAATGTAAAATTTAGTGATTTTGGGTTTAGTATCTAGAGTCCACTATTTCAACCTATTCAATTATGAAATCAACTCATTCCTACACAATACTTAAATTAATTAATGTGCTCAATATATATCAAATTTCATATGGGAAAAGCAAAAAATTAATCTAATCATGCAACTTATTCACTATTCATAGATCAATTAATAATTCAATAAAGTCGTCAATTAATAATGGACATTTGAGTTCCAAAAGTTTACCAATGTTTAGTGAAATCTCAAAAGTTTCGACGTGTGTAAACTACTGTAAGAGAACAAGCATTTCCCAGTACAATACATCGTGTAACAATTTTCACAACTTGAATATCCTCCAAGCATATCTTGACGGTCATAAATTAAATACCCGAACGGGTACCCGAATCAAGAACCAATGGGTTTGGGTCGGGTCTCGGGTCAGACCAAGAACCGAAGAACCGAA